CGAATGTACAAATGTGCTTTACACTATTGATGTGTGTATGGATTGTGGTAAGAGTTGTATGAGCCCCAATAAAATGATTTAAAGAACCCAAAAAACTAGACCAGGGGCTGATTGTAGAACAGACCAGCATTTTTCATATGTAAGTTCAAGATAAAGCGAAGTAAATTAAAACTATTTCATGAGAAAAAACACACCTCTTTTTTTCAATTGAGAGAAATCTCAGTTTTGATGGTTCTTCTTGAGTATAGGGGTGGGAACATACCAGGCTTGGAGATCCTGAGTAATGACTTAGAAACACAATAATAAGGGAAGGGATTACTGGTGTTTTTCTCCCTCTTCTACCCACCCACCAGGCCCCCCGCCTCCCCAATCCAACCAAAGTCACTGCCATTGAAGCCATGGTGGCTCATAGTGACCCTGTAGGACAGAGTAGAACTAACTGCCCCTGAGTTTCCGAGACTAATTGTTTACGGAAGTAAAAAGCCCTGTCTTCTCTCTCAGCCTGCACTAAATCAGATGACTTTCCCCAGCCCTCTGAGGAATGGTGGTTTCTGTCCATTTAGAAAAGTATTTTAATCTCTTCATAAATGTGTGCATCTTCATTGTTCTCTCCATTCGCATACGTTAAGATATGAACGACGAAGAGACTTCTCTTGTATTTATGGTTCGTTATACACAGGCTTTCATGACCCTGGGCATTTGGGAAGTGATGAGGCTGGTTTCCAGCCCTGTCTGGGGAAAGGGGAGACGCCAGTGCCTTGTAGGGCTTCATGCAAAGAAAGACATGGGGCTGGCGTTGGGGTCAGAAGGTGACATTCAGAGCCCCAAGAAGCAGCCTGGGATTTTATTGGATGGTTTAAGACCAAGATGAGTGGCATGAACCAGAGTAGTCTGAAGGAAGGTGAGCTCTGCATGGACTGAAAACACCAAAGAAAACTTGGAAGAGGTAGAACCTGAGCTGAGCAGTCACGTGTGATGGGTGAACTGTCCTTGGTTTAGCAGCATTTTATTTGTGATGGTTCCATGAAACCTCATCTAATTTCCACAGAAACATATTTTAATTCCATGATTCAATTATTTGCTTGAAATACTTGATTTTTCTTATTAAACACATTGCCCTAAGTTGGTATTTCTCTCACATCTTGACTCTTGATTCATTTTCAACCAAGTCTTTTCAGAATAACACGTCTTAAAGAGCATCCATGTTTTGGCAAAATCACTTCCTGTATCTGAAATACCTTGCAGCCCGACCCCTGCAGGGAATTGTTTAATCTTGAGACCAACCGAAGTAATACCCCTTCCTTGTCCCCATAGTACAGTACTTTCTTCTTTTCCTCAATTACAGTTCATAGTCTGTTAATTGTAATTATTTGTCTTTTCAGCTTGTACCCTCATTGAATCTCTAGGCCTTAGAGAATACTTGATGTTTGCTGAATAGATGTAATTAAATATCATCAGTTCTGAAATGTGTGTTTTAGTGTTAAGAACTCAGCTGTCTTATATGTACAGGTATAATATATATTTTGTTAATTTAATTTTTATTTGTTCTTAGATGTCACTAAGAGGATCTGCGCCAGTGACAATTGTACCTCTTCCTGGAGAGCAAGTACAGGTTCAGGGGGTCATCCAGACAGCTCAGTCTTCTGTAATTCACCCACCACACGTGCAAACGGTACAGAAATTTGAAGACTTACTGGTCAAGAGTGGGACTTTTATACCCTGAGTCTTCGGACACATTGAAATTGCTGTAGTTGGGTATTATAAACCAAGATAACAAAATTGTCTTAGAATTTAGGTTCTAGAACAGAGTAACTAGAAACATTTTAAAAACTTAGTGTTGTGTATGTACTACTTAGTGAAAGTGGAAACAAGGGGGAGGGGGTCAGTCACTGCTTAGAGTTCAGAGAATGAAAGCTGTTCATAAGGGAGGCAATCTGTTTTTGTCCCAGTGCTAACTATCCTTCCTCAAGGGTGCTAATGCTGGACGCTTGAGAAGTAAAATGGTACCTTCTCAGTTTTACGATGGTCAAAACAAACAAAAGAGAATTCTCATAGAGAAAGGCTTCATTTGTGTCTGTGTACCTTCATGTTAACACTGACACGGTAAGGAGGAAGGGGCCACGCTGGATTTCTGTCTCTTTAGTCTTCACCCCCATTTTATTGACTGGCTGTAATGAACCCCAGAATGTCTGTGGGCCATCTGGATTTTGGAAGTAGCTATCTTGGAAGAAGAACGCTATGCTTCATAGGTTCCGCTTGAGTATATCTCGTCTGGCAAGAAGTCAGTGCTTGAGCTGCATCTAGCTGGTTTTACTCTAGATAAGACTTTACTCTCATTTGCTGGTGCTGCATTGAGAAGTATTTTATCTTAATTCCAAGTGATTCTTTAGCTTTAGAAATTACTTGAGTTTAGTGGGCGGCCTTGGATTAGATTTAGGAACAACAGTAAAAAGAGTTATAGGTTTAGATTAGAAATGGAATATTTAGGACAGTTGAGGAAAAGATAGAAATAACAGATTTTCCTGTATCAAATTGTGTATTAGTGTTAATATTTATTGATTACTAAGTAATCAATACCTGTTTCTTTTCTATCAAAAGATATCGGTTCCATATGGTAAGGTATAATTATGTAGTCATTTGCCAGTTTTTGAAGGAGATTATAGAATGTAAAAAATGTTTATTGGGAAATTGAAGGTCTTAAGACTATGGGAAGGCTTTTTGTAAATAGTATATGTGCTGCCGAAGCGAGCACAGGCTTTTTGTAAATAGTGACTGACTTAGAAAATTGATTTTTAAAATCTATTTTAGAAGTCTTGTTGGGATTTAAATAAAAAGGAGATAAAGCAAAGTATCATAATTTAACTTTGACAAATATTGGGAAGCATAGTGCATTTTAAAAATTGAAAAATAACTTTTTTCAATTATAAAATGTAGCTTAAAACATGTTGACATTCTAAAAGGTTTATTGATAGTAGTTTTTATTGTATGTTTACCATGTGCCAAGCACCAAGTGAGTTATGTTTTAACTCATTTAATTATAAAATGTGATAAAAGCTAATTGTTACAAGTTTTAAAATGGTACGTCTTCACTTGCTCTTCCCAGTAACTTCATCTTGCTTCCTCTCTGCTCTCAGTTGTTTTACTGGACGTGTTAGTAGCATTTGACACAGTTGATCACATCTCTCTCTCAACATACCCTCTCCATTAGTTTTCCAGGACACCTTACCCATTTGATTGCTCTTCTGCCTCACTGGTGGCTCCTTCTCTGTTTCATTTGATGGCTGCCCCACATTTCCCTCCACCTCTGAATGATAGGCGTTCCTGGGTCTGTTCTTGGTTGTTTTCTCTACCTATACTTAACTTCCTTAAGTGAACTCATCTTGTCTCATTGCTTTAAGGACTCTCCCAAGAGCTACAACTCTCAAATTTATTGCTTCTAATCCAGATACTTCCCTGAATTTACATATCCAACTGTCTCCTCAATGTCACCAGTTGGACATTTGAAACTTCTCAAAAAACCTCATGAAACCTCATTGTCATTGAGTCGATTCCAATTCAGCAAGCCTAGAGGACAGAGGAGAATGGCCCCTGGTGGGTTTTGGAGACTAGCTCTCAATGAGAGTATAAAGCTTCATCTTTCTCCTGCAGAGCGGCAGGTGGTTTCAAACTGTTGACCTGTGATTAGCAGTTGACCTGTGGTTAGCCCCACATATAACCCACTATGTCATTAGGGCTCCTGAGTTCTAAACTTGGCATATCTAAAATCGAAATCAGATACCAATGACCTTTGAGTAATGTGTATCGGTGTAGATAAAGAATGAAGATCAGATACTAGTATTTATAACTCTTAATGGAATCATACTGCTTTATTTTGGGCATACACATTCTTAACTGGTTCTGGACATGCTATGCTGTGCTCCTGGAATAAACCAGCTCCATTTCTGCCCTTTTTTCTGGGTCCTAAAATTAATGACCTTACATTTAATGTGTAAATGAGTTTGAGTGGCAGGAGCCAGATAATTTTTTTCAGAAATTAAAATTTTGATTTAACTGTTTTCCACTTGCAGTGTTCATCATAGTAACACCAGTTTATTTTTCAGGTATCATCTTTATCAGAAAGTGAGGAGTCTCAGGACTCATCTGACAGCATAGGCTCCTCACAGAAAGCCCACGGGATCCTAGCACGACGCCCATCTTACAGGTGAACATTCTCTCCTATCAAACCCTGTGTGTGTTGTGTTACATGGTGTTCTGAAAAGCACTGCTTCTGTGGTCAACAGTGAGGCAAAATCCAATAACTGTAAGGGAAAATTAGCAAATCTGTGAAGGAGGGATTCTAACACTTCTTTTAGTAATTGATAAACTAAGCTATCAAGAAAAGGGAAAGAAAAAGTTTTAGCAACATATTTATCAAACTTAACCTAGTATACAAAGTCTACAACACTATATCTAGCAGTTAGTCATATAATACCCAGCTTTATCAAGTACGTATGGCCATTTATAAAATTTATCATATAGTAGGCCAGAAAGCGAGCCCTGGTATAGTGGTTATACATTGGGCTGTTAATTTCAAGATCAGCAGTTTGAAACCACCAGCCCCTCATTGGGAGAAAGACTGGGCTTTTCTACTCTTGTAAGCATTTACCATCTTGGAAACTCACAGGAGCAGGTCTTCCCTGTACTATGGGGTCTCTATGAATTGGTATTGACTCTATGGCAGTGAGTTTAGATTTTTGGGATCATAAAGCAAGTCTCTCATTTTTAGAGTTAATGTTAAACAGAATACATATACTGACCTCATACAGTTGTTAGAAATCATTGTCAGAGAACCTTGAGGAAGAAAAATGACTAAAATAATTTTTAAAAATTGACATTTATGATTTAAAGACGAAATAATAATTAAAATAGAACATATTTGAAACCATATGAAGTGAATTGTTACATTCAAATCTTGTAGGATTCAACCAGTGAGCTGTTTATATTTTATATTAGGAAAGAGCCAAAGTTAGAAATTAATCAAATAATTATTTAAGCCAGGCCAGGAAAAGAAACAAAAGAGAGAAGGCAGAAGGAACCAATAAAGGGCAAACATTATTGAAATAGAGGAGACATCAGTAAACTCAGAAGCTTAATTCTTTGAAAACACTAATTCAATGTTTTATTTATGTAACAGATACATGGGACTTCTTTAAGTGCTGTACAGTACTAACTTAAGTAGTCTTCGCAACACTGTGAGATAAACATTATCTTCCCATCTTTACAGAGGAGGAAACTGAAGCACAGAGATTAAGTAATGTGCCAAAAGTTAATGCTGTTGATTTGCTGAGCTAGGGTGAAGACCCACGCAGTCTGATTGAAGAGTTCTGCTCTTAACAACTGTTACGTTGTATATCACAGTGTCAAAGAAGAAAAAAGAGAAGTCACAGTAGACTGTCTTAGGAATGAAAAGTCCCTACAGGTGCGCAAATACTTTAAAATAGTAAATATATTGTCAGTATTTCTGAAAATGTAAACAAAATGAAGTTCCCAAGGAAAAATAAAAAATTACTTAAATTTACTCAAGAAGGAAATCTAAATGGTCACATAACCAAGAAAATAACAGTAATTATGTATATTTTCCTTCTCCCCTAAAATACCTAATGTCAGATGTGTTACAGTGTACTCTGTCAAAAATAATCTCCATCTTATAAAAAAATTTTTTTAAGTCGTTTTGGGGAGGTGGGCATTCTTTTCATTTTGAAGCCAGGATGACTTTGAAATTAAAATCAAGTGAAGACAGGATAATCTTTATAATTTTCTCCTGCATTAGCAAAATAACACAGAAGTCTAATAAAATAATACCAAGCCCAAACCAGTAGTATATAAGTATAGTAGAGCTTTATATAAAATATTTATAAATAAATTGAATATGCTTTATTCTGTATATGATGGTGATTAAATATTGGGAAGTTTATTATAAGCAGCTTATAGCAATAAACTGATTGAAGGAGAAAAACTATACTTGTAAAATCAGATCAGTAAATGTAGAAAAAGTACTTGATAAAATCCACCTGTTCATAATAAATTCTAAGCAAATAAGGAATAAGGGGATTCTTTAGCATATACAGACCTTGAGGATTGAACTATTAGACAGACCATCGCCCCAATTCTAGCCTGACCACTAGGTGGTGTACCTGTGGAATAGATTAAAATAGGACCACAAAATGTTTGAAAATGACACTGACATTATTACCACAATCCACAGTTGCCTGGGTCCAACTTGGTTTATCTGCACCAGAAAACAAACAGACTTATTCACTGCCATTGAATCAATTCTGACTCATACTGACTCTTGAACAGAGTAGAACTGCTCCTATGAGTTTTCCAAGGCTTAATAGGAGCTCACATGCAAGCTTAGGTTGAAGTAGAAGAAAATTAAAACAAGTTCACAAGAGCGAAAATATGTCCATGAGTGTATCCCACCAGGCCATTTAAAAGACAGACAAAAAGAAAAGATCAAATGGATGTCTTTTTAATGACCTGATGTATATTCATACAGTGGAATGTACCTTAGCAACAGTGAAGAACACAATACTGGTATGTGCTACCACATGGAGGAGCCTTGAAAATAATAAGCTCAGTGAAAGTAACTGGGCTAAAAAGACCAGATAATGAATCATTCCATTTGTATGGAACTTCCAGAAGACAAACTGATAGGAAAAGTAGGTGAATGGCTGTGTAGGACTCGGGGAGAAGATGGAGGAACTGAAGATGGACTGCTAATGAATACTGGATCTCTTCAGGAAGGGGGCACAGAAGTAGTCTAAAATTGGAGAGTGGTGATGGTTACAATCCTCCAAATGTACTAAACACATTGAATTGCACTCTTCAAATGGGTTAGTTGTATGTGAATGATGTCTCATTAAAGCTGTGTGTGTGTGTTTTAAGCCCAAGAATTAATCCAAATGGTTTTAAAAAACATGAATTACATAAGCTGTGATAAAGTTAAAGTTAAAATAAAGCGATGCATTAAGCTATGTCATGAAAACAACTAATCACAAAGGAAAGCTGGATGCCATGTTACAATCAGTACAGTTTTGTTGTGATGAAATACAATTAACAGCAGAGAGCAAAGAATATTTACTAGCAACAAAGGGATATTCCGTAAAGGCAAGTCAGTTCACGAAGAAGATATAAAAATCCTAAACGTGTCCAGACCTAAAAGCAGGACTTCAAAATACATGAAACAAACTAACAGAACTGCAAAGAAATGTAAGTATTAAATCTACAGTTAGAGTGGGAGATTTCAGTACACCTCTCACAATAGAATTATTGTGTTATAGAAGAATTATCATAGAATTATAGAGCATACCAAGCCATGATATTCATTGTATCACACGAGGGAGTACCCAAAACAAAACTGGGATTTTTTTTTCAAAGCTATTTAATTTTTCTTATAAAACAACCTTATCAGCTTCAAAGTACTCTCCATTACACTTAATACATTTGTGAAATCTGCAGTTCCATTCTCGGAAACATATTCCAAACTTACTTGTTTGGATGGCTGACACCACCTCCCTCGTTTTTTTCCTTAACCTCTTCTGTGACTTCAAACCACTGTTCTTTCATGTCCCTCTTCATTTGTGGAAACAGAAAGAAGTCGCATGAAGCAAGGTTAGGTGAGTAAAGTGAATGGGGCAAAAGAGACATGCTGTGTTTTGCCAAAAACTGGCACACTGAAATGGCTGTGTGAGCAGGTGCATTGTCATGGTGGCAAAACCAGTCCCCCATCTGCCACAAATCAGGCCTTTTTTGTTAAGCAATCTTTTCAGAACCTCTAAATAGAAAGTTTAACAGTCTGACCTGGTGGAACAAACTCCAAATGCACTATCAGTCTGCATTTTCATCTTTTTGGGAAGTTGATGGATGTCCAGAACAAGGTTTGTCATCAATCAACATTTCACCTTTTTTGAAACGAGAAAACCACTTGTACACTTGAGTTTTTACCCATAGCGCTGTCTTTGTAAGCTGTAGTCAACATCATAACAGTTTGTGTGGCATTTTTACCAAGCAGTAAACAAAATTTCACAGCCTCTGTTCCCTTAAATGCCCATCACAAAAAACGAGATTCAAGTGAAACTGCTTTTATGAACAAATTCACTGTGACCAGAGAGAACCTTCCCAGGCGACGCCACTGGGTGCACTAACTCAGAGCCAGTTGCTTTATGCTTGCTTTGTGGGAAAAATGCATACTACGAAAACTGCCCAGCGGAGCTTTTTTGTTTTTGGGGGGGTACCCCCTCATATACATGTGAAAGTTGGACATTGACTAAGGAAACTGTATAAGAATTGATGCATTTGAAGTGTTATGCTGGAGAAGAATATCAAAGTACCAGGGACTGCTAAACAGACAAACCGATATTGGAAGAAGTAAGGCCAAGAGTGCTCCTTAGAGGTAAGGATGGCGAGACTGTCTTACGTGCTTTGGATGTGTTGTTAGGAGAGACCAGTCCCTGGAGAAGGACATCATGTTTGGTAAAGTGGAAGGGCAGTGAAGAAGAGGACGGTCCCTCAACGAGATGTGCACAGTGGCTGCATCAATGAACTCAGGCGTAGGAACAATTGTGAGGATGGCACAGGAGTGTGCAGTGTTTTGTTCTGTTGTGTTGGAGCTGGAGCTGACTCTATCACACCTAACAACATAGAAGAATTGAACAACATCAACTAACTAGACTTGACATTTTTAGAGCACCTCTTCCCCCAAACAACAATGCATTCTTTTTAGAACAAATCACAATGATTGGCATATAAGACCCCTACCCCCACCCCGTGGGTGAAGGGTGACAGCAGATGGTGTAAGATATGAAAATAATAATAATTTATAATTTATCAAGGCTTCATGAGGGAGGGAAAATAGATGAGCTATTACCAAGGGCTCAAGTAGAAAGAAAATGTTTTGAAAATGATGATGGCAACATATGTACAAATGTGCTTGACATAATTGATGTATGGATTGTTAGAAGAGATGTAAGAACTCCCAATAAAATTACTTAAAAAAAAAAAAGAAAAGAAGGCATTCTTTTCAAGTTCACTTCAAATATTCCACCAAGAAAGGCTGCATCTTGGTTCATGAAACACCCTGTAACACATTTTAAAAAGCTGAAATCACGCCAAGTTTGACCTCTGATCAAACTAAAATTAGGTTAGAAATCAGTTATAGAA